AGTGATTAACAGAGGGAAGGAGTGCTGGGGGATAGAAGAGGATAAAGAGCGGGTAAATGGTGATGGTAGGAGACTTGACTTTGGACGATGAACACACAATATGACATACAGATGATATATTATAGAACTGTACACTTGAAATCTATATAATCTATTAAACAGTGTCACCCCAATAAATTCAAAAAAAATTTAATTTATTTTAATTATGATCTCCCACTAAAATGTAGAAATGCGGAACTAAGAATAAAATTCATAGGTTTATAGTTCTTAAAATTCTATACATCAAAAACAAATATATAAATTATACACAAACAAATAAGAAACCAGTAAAATTCAAGTAAACAATATTAAGTTTACTATAAGATTCATGGAGTATTCTGCTGGAACTAAAGGGTGGGTGTTTAGAGTGGGGTGGTAGAGCCGCAGATTCAATTTTATATATAAAGCCTATACTTTCGGTTCAATAATACTAACAAAAGGAAGACCTGCTTACACAAATAGGCTTTAAAAATTTCATTAATGCATTTAGGCTTTGCTTGTTAGTTCAGGCCATTCAGATACATGAATAATCAAAATGAAGGCCTTGTTTTAATACATTAATGCGTACAAACCTGTAAGGGTAGAGAGGAAAGTCTACACTGAGCCATTTGGACACTGGCTCCACCTTGCCCAGGTTTCCTGGCAACAGCCCCAGAACTCAGAATGTGTGCCACAGAACACCAGCTTGGGAAACGCTGCTTTACAGAAAAGTTCAAAGAAGAAATTCTGCCCAGGAACTGTTTAAAACAATTGCTTTATTAATTAATCCTAGCTTACTAGGAGCTCTTCGGCTAAATAGCTCTACTTTTCAACAAATATGAAAAAAAAATGACAAATGTGTTCCATGCAATTTCCTTCCTACTGATCTGAAGGAAATGACTTGTTCCTCATGTCTAAGGGACTCCCTACACACATTCCTCTTCATTATCGTCCAAAGACTCCATGTTTAAAAAATATCTATCCCTGACCAATCACAGGAAGAGAAAAAAAATGCAATTTATGCTTCAAAAAATGCCCTCCATAGGAAAATGAATCACAAAACAATGTTTAATAAAAACATTAATATTCTAGTAACCTTTGTCATTTGGAGAAACTCTTCACAGGGAAGCGGCTCCTCCTGGGGGAGCTGACAAAGAGCCGTGCTGCTCATTTCTTCCAGAACCGCATCAATGCGGAACTCGATCAAATCGTTGACCCTGTCAACCAGCAATTCCAGGTCCTCTGTGGAAAAAAACAGAAGTGAATAAGAAAGATTAAGCATTTTGTTGTGTTTTGTTTTGTTTTTTTTTAATCCTCACCCGAGGATATTTTTCTATTGAGTTTTTGAGAGAGTGGAAGAGAGAGAGAAAGACAGAGAGAAACACATTGATTGGTTGCCTTCTGTGAGAGCCCTGACCCGAGCCCAGGGCTGGGGAGGAGCTGCAAGCGCGGTATGTGCCCTTGACCAGAATCGAACCCCGATCCTTCGGTCCACAGGCCCACGTTCTACCCACTGAGCCAAACCGGCTAGGGCTTGTGTTTTGTTCTTAAATCAACATTGGATTAAACTGCAGTAGTAAAACCAGGATTAAAGTCACTCCATACCAGTTTCAGTCTTGGTTTTCTCACACTATTCTTTCTTTGGCCAGTTTTCTAGTTTTCTCGGCCTACCTAACTCTGACTCAGACTTGAACACTCAGCTCAAATGCATCTCCCCGCGGAGGCTACCTGTGAGCTACACATACTCGTCCGGGCCCCTCCTCTCATACCGACATTGACCCTGAGCAGCCTTCCGTTCCTACATGTACCACATGGTCTCCTCTTGTGTCTTATCTTCCGGAATACATGTTTTTCAACCTTGCATCTTCAATACTTAGCCCAGTGCCTATGTCACAGGAGGTATTCAACAGATCTATTAAAGTAAAATTCCTTCAGTGTTTCTTTTACTGTCACTACCATTAGGTATATTTTAAGTTGTAGTGAAGTAATATTGAACACTAAGTTCTATGGACAGAATGGCCAATTCTGAAACAAATTAACAACTTTACTGCCAAAGTAGGAATGGTGGTTAATGGACTTCCATCTATGAAGTAAATACATTTTTTCCAACATTTCTCATAGAGTCAATTCTCTTTTTTTCCCCCTGATACTACTTTCTTCTAGGAAACAAAGTTAAAATTAAATACAGAAAAATCCATGTTATATATTCATGATGTATCAGAGATGCAAACACTTCCTTAAATAAATACCTGTACTTTCTAAAGAATAAAGCCCTAAAAGTTCCAATAGTTTCTAAGCTAATTATTAAAGAGGCTACTCGAGATACCAAATAGTTCTGCCTGGTAAGCTTACTCCTTACTAAAAGAAAGTCAACACTTTTATTTAAGCATGTGTGGGCTCAATAACATTCTTTATTACTTCTGATTCTTCAAAGCCTCCTCAGGGCCACCTGTGGTAAGCTGGTGTCTTTGAAGAATCTGACTGACTCCTCAAAGCATCTTCAAGGACCCACCTCCTTCTGTGCCCACCTCCCCTCCCAAGATGTCTACATCCTAATCCTCTGTAAATATTACCAAGGGGACTTTGCAGATGTGATCAAGTTAAGGATCTTGAGATGTGGAGATTGTCCTGGATTATACAGGTGGGGCCGAGGTAGCCATTAAGGGTCCTTATAATTGGGAAGTAAGAGGGTCAGAGTCAGAAGACAGGGTGACTACTGAGGTGGAGAGACAGACAGAAAGAGATTAGAAGATACTAAGCTGCTGGCTTTGAGGATGGAGTGACCAGCAGCCAAAGGATGTAGGCAGCCTCTGGACCCTGGAAATTCTCTCCCTGGGTAGGCAAGGAGAATAGCAACATCTAAGTCTTCTGGGGGAAAAACCCTTCATACTGTGTTCCAAACTGTGTTCCACTACCCACCACAGAATGTCTAAAAGGTGTTAATATGTTCTCCTAGAAGGCAGCCACGGAATTCTGGGAAATGCCCCAAACAGCCCACTTTTGGTGACCACTGGGCAATGGCATATTAAAGGCTATGTGAAGTCCTACAGAATAGAAGCCTGCCTGGCTTTGCTCCACTTCAATCTCCCAGGCTTCTCTGAGCCCAGATCCCTTCTTTGCAGCATTCCTGTACACATTCTGGGAAGTTGTACTTTTAGGAATATACCACCTTACATATATTTTAAGTGTATTACATCCATCATTAAGTACAATGATTGAAATTTCTTTTGAGAGCCAAATTTTTTAAACTTAAACTATATAGGTAGGTACATTGTTATTAACTTAATTAGGGTACTCCTAAGGCTTAGGAAGAGCCACAATTAAGGGGCCAAAGAGCCACATGTGGCTCGCGAGCTGCAGTTTGCTGACCACGGCACTAACCTATTAGTATAAAAGGCTGAATGACTCTGAAGATCCTTTAAATTCTAATGTCAACAAGTATATTTTACAATGTAGTTAATCTCTGGGGATAAAATTAAACAGCGAATATATGTACTTTACAGGAAATTAATGGATTCATATATTTTGGTAAAATTCCTTGGGAAACAGATTAAAAATTACACTCCCCATTTCATGATTTATATCACAATATCTGTAAGAAATTACACAATAGTTGTTAAGAACGCAACCTTTCCAATTGAGAAGTAATAGCCATTTAGACAGACTTACTGATCTTAGCAAAAGCGTGTTTCAAGTATGTCTCAATGTTCAGGGATGTCCAGGTCAGTGCAGCCAGGCCGGGTTGGAGAGCCTCGTCCACTTTAGCCAAGTGAGGGACCATCAGTGGCTCTATGATGGGAGGCATTTTTGACTTCACTCTCTGATATTCCGCCAGCATCATCTGCAATGAAATGGGGGTCAAATAATCACTATTTCACTTTTAATATCTATTAATATCACTTCTTTTAATCCAAAAAGATGACTTTTACTTAGGTCCAGCTGTAGGACTCCAGCAGCAGCCTGCGGTAGAGTGCCCCAAAGTAAGACTAGAACAGAAGATAAGAAATGGCTCCATAAATACACATTCCTAACCTGATAAAACACAACTGAGGAGGCAAGAAAAAGAATTTAAGAGTAATAGTTTCTTACATCCTACCCAGCCCAAAAGGGGAGAAAGGATTTTAGGCCAGGTGACTTTGCTAAACCAGGTGAAGTCACATTACCAGTGCCTTAGCCTGTGTATCACTAAGCTCATGTAGTCAACTTTATACGCTGGTACCCCATGCTTCCTGCTCCTCTGGGCACTTCCGATGGACCATACTCATCACCCAAAGGGTCACCAGAGGTCTGCTCAGCCCATTGCCGGAATTGTAAGCCAAGTCCTGATGCAAGATCCAAAGCTTACAAAGAGTCAGGAACCAGTGTTGATATTATCAGGAGTCATAGCTTTAAGTATCACCCATATGCCAAAGACAACCAAATATTTTTTTCATTAAATTCACTGGGGTGACATTGGTTAATAAAATTATATACAACCCGATGTATATCTCCAGCCCAGACCTCAATCCTGAAGTCTAGATTCATACATGGCAAACACCTACTCAATACTTCCACTTGAAAATATAGCAGACATTTTAAGGTTAACATGTCCAAAACTGAGTCTATTCTTCTCCACAACGTTATCTGCCCAAAGCATTCTCCATCTCAACAGATGGCAACTCCATCCATCCAGTTCTCAGGCCAACACTCAGAGTCATCCTCGATTCCGCTCTTTAACTCATACCTACATGCAATCCATCAAGATATCTTGTTTGCTCCATACTCAAAAAGAGATCCTACATGTGACTTGCTTGCCACTGCTACCACCATCATTGACTCTCACCTAAATGATTGTAATAGTCTACCATTGTCTCCCTGCTTCCACTCACGCCCCTAGAGTCTAATTTAGCAGCAAGAGTAATCCTTTCAAAATGTTAAGTTGGATCCTGTCATTCCTCTATTTATATGGCCACATGGCTTCCCATCTTAGTCAGGGCTACAGCTCGTATGTTGGTCTGCAAAGATCTACCCAATCTGGACTCCACTACTTCGCTGATTTCATCTCTAATCACTCCTTTCCTCTTTTACCTGCTCCTGCCCTAATGTCTTCCTTAGCCTCAGGGCCTTTGTATCTCCCTCAAATAATTATTCAAATAGCATCTTTTCAATTAGGCCTACCCTGACCACCTATTTAAGATCCTAAACTATAACCAAAATCCCCTGCATACTCTTTCTTCTTTACCCTATTTTTTCCATAGCACTTATCACTTTCTGATCAGACTATATAATTTACATATTTATAATATTCATTATTTATTTTCTGTCTTAACTAGAATATAAGTTCTATAGCAACAAGAATTTTGTCTGCTTTGTTTAATGTGTCTGAAACAGTACCTGGCACACGGGAGATGATAAATCCTATATCTCTAATTGATTAATTAGTTCTCATTGGAAGGAGCATTTGTGATCAGAAACTCATGGATTCTGGTCCTCACTGAAATTTACCTGTTGTTAATGTTGAACTGTACCAGTAACTTGTAAATTTGTTACCATTTTTAAATAAAAGGTACTTTTTATGATAATGTTAATATCAACAATAATTAATTATAATAAAGTAACTTTAATGCACTGGTTAAATACAATTGTTTTTAAGCTCATATTTTTAATGTGCATGTTGGTGTTTTTTTTGTCATTAGATCAATGTTGCCCAAAGTGTTTTCCCTAAAATCTGAGCCCCAGAGATTCCATAAGAAAAACTATCTCTGGATGGACAAGTTTGGAAAACACTATACATATCTCCCCTCTTGGACAGTCAACTAATATTACCAATTCTGAGAAAACTGCAAGAAGGAAGTAAGAAGCCTAGTAGAATTTATGACTGTTGTTAAAGCCAACATTTCCCAAATGGGCCAAATAATCTTTTTTTAATACAACACTTTTTCACAATTTCTATATAGCCTTCCAATTTCCATAAAAGCCACTTTCAAAAAGCCTAAATTCAAAGGTCCTATTATAGCAACTACTTATACATTTCCTGAAGCTTTTCTCCACTGCCTTCCTTTTTTTCATTGCCCATCACTTATTCTATTTGGGAAGCAGTTCTTACAATCACCTTTCTGTGTCCAGCCTTAATCCTTTAATTCCATGAAGTATTACTCATCCATTTTATAAATGAGAAACTAAGGCTTAGGAGGGTAAAGGAATTTGCCCAAAGATAACTGTTTGAATCCAGATCAAATTGGCTTCAGAATCTATACTTGTAGCTACTGGCTCATCTCTTTCTACTTTGAGCTGCCTTCCAAGAAATAGATGAAGAATGCAAGCTCTCAGCTACTTTGCATATCTGTAGAGGCCTGAAAGCTGAATTAAACATTTAGCACAATAACTCTGTGACACCTGAGATGGTTCCCCTAATCTGCCACTAATCTGCTCTTACCAGCTACTCATGTAGGTAGGAACCTTTAACTCTTTCCACCTTCAAGATATGATAAATGTTAATCAGATGACAATGTATTTGCTCAGATTGTCATTTACAACTGAGGTGGTTTAAAAACATTCTTTGACCCTCCTCTCTGCATGGGCGGGATCTATGCCCCCTCTCCTTGGAGCTGGGTGGGCTTATGGAGCCCAACAGAGCATAACAGAATTGATGCCATGAGACATTGAGGCTGCCCTAAAGACCATAAGACTTCCTCCTTATTTACTTAACACCTGCTCTTGGAACCCTGAGTTGCCATTTAAGAAATTCTACTACCCTGAGGTCTCTATACTGGAAGTCCACATGTAATTGGTCCAGTCCTTAGTGCCAGCTGAGCGAAGCTTCCAGCCATCCCCACCAAAGAACCAGACAGAAGAATAGGGCCATCTTAGACCTTCAAGACTGAACATCTGCCAGCTGAACTAAATAACCTTAGTGCCACACGGAACAGGAAAATCACCTTGCCAAGCCTTGCTTAAATGCTTTACCCACAAAATCATGAGATATAATGAAATGGTTGTTTTAAGCCACTACATTGTGAGGTCCTTTGCTACATGCAACAGATAACTGAAACAATTCTGTGGACAAAATTATCATCAGTGATATTATATTTTTTAATGTATTTTGATTGATTTCAGAGAGGAAGGGAGAGGAAAGGGAGATAGAAACATCATTGATGAGAGAAAATCATTGAGCATTGATCAGCTGTCTCCTGCACGCCCCCTACTGGGGATCAAGCCTGAAACCCCCGGCCTGTGCCCTGACTGGATATCAAACCGTGACCTCCTGGTTCAGAGGTCAACGCTCAGCACTTAGCCACACTGACTGGGCTTATAAATATTATATCTTAATAAAAAAAATACTATTTTCTTTGTAAATATGTACACTGACTAGGTGATTTTCCTGACATGCAAGAAAAGTCTAAAAGGGAATCCCAACATGCATGTCTGTTGCCAATATTAGCTTTCTAATATAACATGGAGGAGTAGAAAAACAGCAGACTCAAAGTCTGGTTTCTGGTCCCACTTCTGCCACTTATTAGCTATGAGACTTTGGCTAAGTAATTTCTGAGGTACAGTTTTGTCATCTGTAAAATGCTATAATAATTTTTGTCCTTACTGGACATGATTTTGGAACATATCTAATGGAACAATAAACATGAAAATGGTTTAAAATGTAGAACATTGTGCAAATGCATGGCCTTCTGGCCTCCTATCATGTTAACCACTATAAAATTGTAACAATGGTCCATCTTGTCAAATATTATACCTGCATCTCTGGGCACCACTTGTCACTGCTGACCAATGTCTCCCTCATGAAACTTTTCTTACCCTTGACTTCCTTGACACTCAGTTTCCTCCCACCTCAAAGGCCAATCTTTAATTTTATTGGCATATTCGGCCTCTTTTCTCAGACCTGTTAATATTGGAGCTCGTCAGGGTTTGGTCTAGGCCCTCTACTTTTCTTTATCTACATTCTCTTCTTTGGAGATCTCATGAGACAATGACTTTAAATAGCAACTATATTCTGATAACTTTCAAATGTATGTCATCTTCACTTTTGACTTCTGCACTCAACTCCAGACTTACAATCTATCTACATAGATAACACCTCCTCTTTGATCTCTAAAAATCATCTTATACATAAGGTGGCAACAAATGATTCCCTCCTGCACCCTAAAATAAACTAGTTCCAGACTTTGCCATCTCTGTAAGCGGAACATCCATTCAGGACCAATGTACGTTATTGAGCAAGTTGAGCAGACTGTAACCTACGCAAGCAGTAGTCTGCAACAGCCATACTTGAAGTAAATCCATTGAGTTGCTCACACTAAAACCAAAGAACTCACCCTTGAGATCTCCCCTAACCTGCCTGTTGATATACGTCTCTAATTTACTGATCTATTACTTGGCTGACATCCTAGTTCAAGCTACCATCATCTCCATCCTGACTGGCTTCACAGCCTTCAAACTGACTTCACAGTGACATGCTTGTTACCATAAAATATATTCGCCGCCCAGCAATAAGAATGATGTTTATTGTGAAAGACATCATCATCATCATGCCTTTTTTCCTGCTCAAATTTCTCCAATGGCGTCCTGGAGCACTCAAACTTATAACCTTGGTCTGCAAGATCTGTAATGACCTGGCCTTGCCACCTCCACAGCCTCATTCCATGGCACTCTCCCCATCAGTCATTCCACTCCAGTCATCCTGGGCACTTTCTATTCCTCAAGAGTGACACGTCACCATTTTTTCTAAAATGCAAGCTGGAGCTAGCCAGAATGGAGGGGGGAGGGGGGGCGCACTATACCTTCATGTTACTGAAGTTCTTTTTGTATATATCCCGTTTCTGGAAAAGAGCAGCTGCCAGGGATGAAACCTCCAGACCCATCTGTGACATGCACTCTGTTTCTCTAAATAAGGTCAATATCTGAGGGTCAAAGTTTACAAACAATTCTCCCGTGCCTGGAGCCTTCACCAATAAAGAAGCCTCAAGTCCTATGTGAATTCCTTCAATCTGTGAGAAGAAATCAACATTATTACCATTAGAAAGTTCAATACATACACAGAACATACAGCTCAGCCATTCCTGGGAGAGAATCATTAAGTGTTCTTCCATGGAGCTGAGCTTCTCAAAAAGACAATGGGGTCACTCAGTCTTCTCCTAAGTTCACTTCAGAAAAGGGCCTTCAGGTCTTTGGTCATAATGTTGCACAATCGATTCAACAAAATGCATGGGTCATGATTCTCTCACATCGACATCTAAGTGGATACCGCAATTAATGGTGACTTCTCAAACCATTTAGCTTCTTGATACCTTCATTTCTACTCAGTTATTTTTTTCCTAATATAAGTATCATAAAAGCCTACTAAACTCAATTTTCAGTTATTTGGAAAAGCAATGAAGACCACTATGGAGGCATCTCTATATTGGCTCAGATACCAAAAGGTGGACCAGAAAAATGAAAAACCATTTTTCAGGCCTAAAAAGGTTGAATTTTATCCTCCAAAATACAAAAACAAAAGCAAAAAACAAACAAACAAACAAAAAACCTTTTTGCCAATCTACAAGGGTTGGTAGGGTTTGAAATGTAATTTGATTAACCTAGTATAGCCAAGGAAAACTTAAGACTTTAACACTCAGTAGTGTTCACTGACACATTAAGAAAATGAATGGAGGAAAAGAAGAAAGAAATCCTAACCAACCAAGTAAAAGAACCAATAAACAGGACCTTCTCCCTTAGGAGTTTGTAACTAAATAAAAATGAGTTTATTACCTGACTATGATTTTTTTTCACAATGAATCATTATTTTTCTTCATGGACATATTACACTCTTTGGCTGATTACCCACCTATATTCAACCAAGCCTGTCATAAAATACCTGCAAACTCAACTTTCTACCAAAATAAAACTGTTCAATGCTAGCAGAGGGTTTCCCATTGATTGGCAATGGAGACATCTTTGAAGAACATAAATGTACAGACTTACTTGTTGAAGCCACGCCCTGTGGTAGAGAACCTCAAACTCCAGGAGTACCTTGGCCACCCTGTTGTAGTTACGGATCACGGGTCTGGCTTCCGCCGTCCGCAGCACGCTTGGGTGCTGCTGGAAAAGCTGCATCGGTTGCTGAATCCTGTGGAAGAGCTGACGGGCCCACAGAATCTTCCCGGCAATGGGAGGCTGGTCTCGGGCCAACGGAGGATCACACTTCTGCTTTGTATACAGCTTTGCAATCATATCAATGTCAGCCCCATAGTTTTTGAGGATACACCGGTATTTGTCATCAATACCCAGATTGGGTATATTCAATCTGATTTTTTTAAAGTGAAACACTTGAATTAATGAGACAATATCCAGCAATCTCTTTTATTAAGACATTTTAAAACATATGCTAATGAAAGAAAATAAGATATTTGGCTACTTTTTAAAAAATAGTATCAACCCATCATATTGCAATAAAGTGGTTTCTAAAATACAGTGTCAATCTTTAAAATATAGGAAAAACTAGATACATTTTTTAATTACTTGAACATTAAGTAATATAATGATAGGCAGTCACAACTTAGAAAATTGTTCTCAATTTTTTACCTTTCAAATTTCTTTAACATACTTAGAGCTTGATTTGTGTTTCGAATCTTTTCAAATGTAACATCCATGAAGTTCTGCAACTCTTTCTAAAACAGAATAAAGTCTGATTATGAACAATGAATCAGCATTGGGGAAAGTCCTATTTAGCATCAAGATAAAAGAGCTTCTCATTCTCTACAAGCACATGTAATAGAGGACAAAATAGAACAGAAAACTTCATACTCGCTTGAGCCTGAAAGAAAGGTAAAATGCCCAGAAGCCAGAACACAGAGTGGCTACAGAGCCAGAGCAGTCTTAGGAGTTGGCCCGTGGCAGGGTCCAGATGTACTGGGTCCGATACAGAACCTGGGTTGGGCACTGAGTCTTTATCAATGTGGGTAGAGAAGTTGTGGGGTCCTAACACTCTCAACAGACCCCTGCAGAAAGCCAAGGCACTTGAAGTGCTGTCCAGCCCATGCAAGGGGGGTTTAAATGACTGTCTACAAGTTGGGGAAAGCAGCAGGGGATCTTGCCATCCGGCCAAGGCTGTGAATAGATAAAACAAGCCCTTTACTTTATAAAAGAGCCCAATGATGAGTATTTTCTACTTCACAGGACATGGGTCTCTTTCATAACTGCCCACCTACCACTGCAGTGCAGAGGCAGCCATAGACGACCCAGGAACAATCAGGCAGGGCCGGATTTGACCCAAGGGCATAGTTTACAGAGCCCTGTCCTAAAGCGATTGAAATTCCATGCCAGTGCACACCTAGATGAGGGGTCTGAGTTACACTACGCATGAGAGGAGAGAGGTCTAACCCAAGAAATTAACGTAAGAGCTAGTCTGGGATGGCAAAACCACGGGGGCCCAGCAGAAGGAACACAAGGCCACTCCACAGAAACACTGCCACAGCCCAGGCCATGAGACCCCTCCAGGAAAAAAATATCTCCCAAGAAGATAAGTTCAAAAAGAATGACCTAAATATCTTAAAGCCCTTAAATCTATTTTCCAAAATGAGTTTCATTATGGGTTGTTCTGAGAACCTCACACATCTTATAGGACTATATAATTTTGTCCAAAAAAATAAAAATAACTGAACCTAAAAACAAAGCACATGATTTAGTCTTTTTTCAGTCTCAGATTTAGCACAGAGTTGTCATTAAAAATCTACATTGAGTTAAATAAAAGACAGAAAAATTCATTATTTTTCTATTTCGTGCTTTAAGGGAAAGTTCCAATAAATTCTTTTTTCTCAATTTACCAGAAAGAAGTTTTAAGCCTCTACAATTCTAAAGAGATCAATAATTTATGTAGTGATCAAATTGGGAAGCCAGTTGCATGTGCAGTGAAAATTAGTACGGAGATGAGCTTCACTCTACATAAGATGACCAGTTGGAAATATCCAGGACCCCACTGGAAAATCTTAACCCTTGAAGAAATGTTGCTATCTGGGAGCAAGCCACAATGCTCCCTGAACCATTGAACAAAACTTCCAAGCTGAAGAATGGCTAACCCTACTTACACTGTGCCTCCAATACTTCTCACTCTTCTACTGAAATTTTCAAGAACAGTGCAGTTGGCCTACGCAAGGAAATACTCAAGTATTTTCACACATAAAAACCTCTGAGTGTAAATTATGCAGAACTGGAGCATTGGCAATGCCTCCACTCCCTCCAACTTCAGACACCAGCAAATCTTCACTGAGCCCTGTCAATGGAACCTGATTTTCCTTGTTTTTCCACCCTATAACTTCACAAAGACCTACACTGAGCTCTCTATGAATATCTAAGACCTTGAATTAGTCTTCTTTTTCTCTCTGAGCATTAGGTCTGTTCTGACAGTCTTTTGGAGTCCAGGCAAGGAATTCTCACACTAGTCCTCTTACATGGCCTCCCAGCTCCTACTCAGTTTTCTGTTTACCCTGTAAGTGCCAGCATGAACTCTCAATCTGGACAGGATTCCAGGCTCTGGTTGCTTTGACAGAGGAGTCCTGCACACAACCCTGATCTGAATCACTCACGTACCCACCCCACCCCCCAGGGTTTCATCCTGGAGATGCCACAGTTACTGAGCCTCTCCATTCCTGTCTCCAAAACTAATCTCCTCCCCCTTACATCCCATCCAGAGTCATGGGAGGGTTGGGATTTTCACCCTGACTTTATAGAGAAAAGGGCTGAATTCATGAATTAATTAAAGGAGAAAGTGTAGACAGTTAAGAGAAAGAGGGTGGAGAAAGGGTCAAAGAAATTAAACGGAAAGTAGTTGTCCAGCCAAAGGGAGAAATGGACCATTATTGAGATGGACTATAAGACATTAATAGCATTGAGTTTTTAAAAAGAAAAGATTAAAGAGAATGGGAACTGTCTATAACTAATGCTTAAAACCAGGCTGTAGGACAATTATAAAGTTATATTCTCGGTATTATAAAAAGCAGACACAGGCTTGAAAAGGTCTCCCCATCCCACTCATTTCCCTCCATTTACTTGGAAAAAATAAACACCGTTCTGGCATCAAGCATCACCTCCTCTCTGAGCCTTCGCTCCTCCCAGACAAGCAGAGTGTGGGGCTGTTTTTTTCTTAGGCTCACATCCTGCCTTGTGGGTCATAGCAATTCTCAGATTCTACATTATGTTTTGTAGGCCTGTCCTCCCTCTAACTTTCTTTAGGAATTCTCTGGACTTTGATCTTTGGATCCCCAAGGCCTGGTACAATATCAGAATATTATACTTCTAATATTATAATTATACACACACACACACACACTTGTGTTTATATCATAACACATATCTGCTTTCTGTCTGCTGTGAGCTGTGAGAGCAAATCTACTTGACTTATTTCTATATTCATAACCCACAGCATAGAAGCCTAATACATAATTGATGTACAGTAAATGCTTGTTTAATTACAATCAATCTAGTTCTTATTAAATCATTACCCAGACTTTAATTCCACAAATATTCTTTGCTCTCCAATTATAGGTGCCACCCACCAGGCCCTGGAGACACAAATAGGAATGAACATGATTCCTGCCCTCAAGATGTTCACCATCGACTTATATTCCACATATAAGCTAAGGAAGTACCAGATAGCAGAAAGTGCTGGGAAACAGGTGAAGACTGACACATGCACATTGACCAGAGAGCACAGAATTAGGATCTGCCACTGTCCATCAATTTCCAACAAGAAGAGATCAAGATCTGTTGTCCTTATGTCTGAATCCTCCCCTAAACTTGGTCACTGCCGAAATTATTATAGGCATTACATCTTCCTAGCAACTGAAATGTGTCTTATAACATAATGGTTAAAAACTTAAGTCCTGGAGCAGAGTGCCTGGGCTTAATCTCCACACCACCACCTATTGCTGTGACTTCGGGCAAGTCAGATAACCTCAAAGAGCCTCATTTTCTCCTCTGAAAAATGAGGACACTAAGAGCACTCACCTTACAGGATAATTAAAACCTATAAAGTGCTTAGAACAGTACCTGACATATAGAATTAGCCAGTTTTCTTATGATTCTACCACTAACCCACCCCTCCAAAATGCCTGAGTTATTTTTTCCTTAAAGTGTACCAACTTTTTTCTTTTCTAGAAAAGAAGTAAAAGATGGCCATTTTCCTTTTATAATCAGAATAGTGCAAATTTTTGCCTCAGTGGGATGAAGAAAAAGTCTGGAGATTAATTATGATAGAAATCTATTGGGTTGTCTCTTCACCTTACCCTCCTCGATTCTCCTCCTCTGATAGAAAATATTTCACA